AACAGTGGCTTTATTATTCTATTACCAGTAATTAATCTTCTGATCGCCAAAATGAACGTTTATCGCCATTTACAGTTTTTTCAAATTGTTTTAATACTGTAAAATCTGTATTAGAAACCGCGGCTTCTATTAAAATGGTACAATGTAATAGAGGGGATGAGGCTTCTATTAGAGCATCTACACATATGAGAAATGACGAATTTTTGGTTCTCAATTATTCAAAAAGAATGGGTGCGACTTCTATTAGGGATGCGGCTTCTAATACAGATTTTACGGTAATTGTAAGTAAATTGGAAATTATGTCAATTTGGTCTAAAAGTAACAAAGAAATTATTTAAAAAAATGAAAATGTCACACTAACATTTTCTTTGAAAAAATGATATTTATGTTTAAAGGGTTTAGGGGATTAGAGTTAAGCATAATTTGCAACAGACCTCTTTTTCTAAATATTATTGTGTATTTATTTTGTAACAGTAACCTGCTCTATCTGGCGTTCATTCGATTGTGAAAGCAGTCAGTCCATGTGCTATTATTATTCAGTGATCAGAAATCAACAATGAATTAGCAGAATATAATTAGCATAACAATAGACCAAACAATGAATTAGCAGAATATAATTAGCATAACAATAGACCAAACAATGGTGAATCTTTGTGGTATTCATTACACCAATAGATTGGTTTTGATGCCAGATCTGTCCCACTTTTTCAAAACCAAAGTATTTAAATATTTGTATCTTTTTGTAAAAAATTCAATTCAAGAATAGTCCATATTATTTACCAGTGTATTCTACATCATTTATCCTACACAATCTTGTATTATCAGGCTGACCTCTGACTGAGGTGTAATTGGATACATTACTGACCCTTGACCCCACAGCTGACAGGTGTCAACACATGGCAATCATAACAAACCTGAACACAACTTATTTTTCATTTGCAATATAAACCAAATACATAAAGTGTAATAAGTCTAAATGTAGCTATTTTTTTATCAGGAATTAAACCTAAATTTTAATATGGAATCTATGGATAAAATACTCCTACAACCATGTAATAATCCAAATATTGAATGAACAAGTAGTGACAATGCGAGGGAATACTCATTCCACAAACCACCAACTTTGCCTTAATATTGAAATATCATTCAAATACCAAAATAAGGAAAATCAGAATTTGCACATTTCAATAAGAAAATCAGAATTTGCACATTTCAATAAGAAAATGAAATTTGCACATTTCAATAAGAAAATGAAATTTGCAAAAACAGCAAATTTGTTGGAACGTGACATAAGTTATCAAATTTTACTTTCAAGATTTTAAAAGTAATGACAATAAGTTTATTCACCATAATTTTTGTAACATTTTGCACATTTTTATTCATTTTTTGGTTATTTCTTATTTCATTTTGGACCTAACTAATAGTCCAGTATGTGTGCACGTTGTTATGTATAATGTGCTATTCAAATCACGCACAAATGAATTGCTCACAGACAGATCTTTGGAAATAAAAAACAAAATGGCCACCAGTCAGTCATTAGGATAGCCAAAAAAATTAAGGTAGAATCTTAAGCTATTGTTACGTCATTAATGGAGCCTTACGTGATAGCGGTACTCCCATCATGCATTTCACTTCATATTTTAAAAGCAACATGTTGACATTAGTAGTACTGTTATATAAACATTCTTTTGTTTCTCTCTATTGTTCAAATAATTGAGATGCATCATGGGAGTAACGCAATGTACACATGGCGTCATTTAATAAAGTAGTGACAGTTCGATCTACGTATAATTTCTCAATCTTTCATTCAAATCATCTACACACACAAGCTAACGCTGTTGTACTGTTGCCTTCTCTAATAGGTAACACTGCAAGGCTTTTTCAACTGCCTTGTTGACCCCTGCGACAGCATTTTTGAAAACACCTCACCGCTCATCTTTTAAAAGAGCACTTTAGGATGCAACTTAATTTTGATCGTGTACTTTTTTATCTAATATTATCTATTCAGTTTATGGTAATTCAACTTAACGCATGTTTATTTGTCAGTAAGCGGCCGATAGTTGGTGTTGTTGAAAAGGAATAAATAATAAACATCATAAAATCATTGCACTGCACGTTCGTTTAATTATAAACGAACACACAAAATGATCGGATATATACCGACAGTTTTCACAATATATTCATTAATTATAAAATTTAGGAGAACTAAATAAATAAAAACTATCTATCACTGCATCAAGTTCAAGTCTCTGATATATGTGTTGTAAATTTTCATACCATTCTTGTACCTATCGTTGATTAACTCTAAGGATGATGAGTAATTAGACATAATTCTGATAATTATTATTTTCAGCATCAATCCAAGATGGCGCTCTGAATGCAGAAGATTTGTCATCATGCGAGTGTAAAAATACTCAAACCGGCACAACCAGCTGGGCGAGTCACCAAAAACATTAAGAGGTCACACAGCCATGCTTTTAATGTAAATTACTTGCAAACATCAGCTTAGGGGAAGTCAGAAGCTCACCTGTAGGGGACGGCTCGTATTAGAGAACAAACACAAACTAAAACAGTTCACTCACCTCGATGTACGTTGCTAAAAGTGAGCAACTCATTTCTTGTTCAAGTATCTTTTTGGTGGCAACATTGCCATAGCAACATGCTATTAAAGCTGGGAATAGTATATTCATCAACCGAGGATCGCTAAAATACTGGAACGGTAAACTGCACAGCTGTTGGAGTAGAGTCGGTGTGTTTCCGAGCTGAACGATAAGCTGAAACAGAACGAGAGAAAGTGAGGACACACCATGACAATTAATGCACCAATAACGTTATTTAATTCAAGGAATATTACCATTTCCTTATTTCATCCTTTTTAAAAAAAAAAGTTAACAAATATTTAAAGTTTTGATCAGAACATCTAACACAATCTGACCATTTGGTCCCAAAATAAAGATTGAATTTTGAGAAAAATAATGAATAATAGAAAAAATATTTGCACTGAAATGTTTTGTTTTTTTAATAAATAGATGAACATGTGTGGTGTTGCTCGCAGACATGAAAATTGTGCCGTAAACTATGATAGGTGGAAACCAAAGTACAATCCTCACACCTTTTTTATTCTGAAGTGGTATATATTCAACATATGACAGTGATCATGGCATGCTGTATTTGATATGAGCAACATGTGAAGTACACAAAAACAAAACAAAAAAAAAACTTGCTAGGTGATGGCAAACAGACCACAAAGAAAGTGAGAAAATCAAGTTTTAAATAGCGTGTTATACTATACTATAAAGTAATAATGCAAAAGTGTCATGCGTCATTGTCAATTTCTGTTTAGTGAATCCGAGGGTACACATAGGGTTAGGGTTCAGAGCTCTAGACATGGATAATTTCTTTGTGGTGATCAGAGGGTAGAAAAAGACATGGATTCAGAGCTTTACACATGGTTAATTTCTGTTTAGTGATCACAGGCTATACCGCTACATAGGCCTGGGTACAAGGCTTACACATTGTTAATTTCTGTGTGGTCAACAGAGAGTGAATATATGCATGGGTTCAAAGCTCTACACATGGTTAATTTCAACAGCAGGCATGGGCATGGGCATGGGTTCAGAGGTCTAAGCATTGTAAATTTTTGTGTGGTGATCACATGGTAGACATACATGTAGTCATGGCCACTCTATACATGGTTATTTCAGTGTTGTGACTAGAGACATACATGGGATGCATGGGATGCAAAAAATTGGGATTGCTAAATTTCTACTGAACATTCATCAACACAATGACTGGATGTTGTATTCAAACAAACAGACGGACACACAGGAATAATGTTCTGGTAAGTATCACAAAAGCAACGTCGTTAGAGAGACCATATTTAGCCTGTAATTAGCCGTATTGTGTAATCATTAAGTAGAAAACTGACTGGTTCAAACATAGCCCACAGCAAAACTAATTTGTTATCTGTTTGTTTGCAGCTTGCTTGAAATAATCGCTAAACCAGGCTCCTTTGTTGAGTGTTACAACACACTTTGCAAGAATAACAAGAGTTTCCAATTATTGACGTTATTCCGAATGGGCAGGTCTCAATGACACACTATTGAAATGGAGCGTCCCTTAATTAACACCCTATTGTTGGAAAGTCGAGTGCCTTCAGATACTAAATTTTCGCTTCCTTACTAGACAGAGAATGAACGAGAAAAATAGGATTACAAACAAGTATGATCTAAAGGGTCTTTCTTTTTGTTTCAATTCTCAAAACAAATCTTAAACTTTTGACCATTTCCTATAATGACAATCAAGTGTCTCAGGATCACTACCAATTTTTTGCGAAAAAAATCACGCTTATGTAATAGGCTTAATTTATTCGTTCAAATTCAAAGTGATACTGTTATAGAGACCCCAGCAAAATGTTCACTGCTACGAATTTTTGCGAATTTTCCTAATTAATCCTGGAAATTTGTCTTTTGTAAAAATCGGCTTACACTATTCTCTAATTTAAATCCTAGCAAAAACAATCATTTCATCAGCAATAAACAAAACAAAACTGAAGAAAAAGCAGAAAAAATTCAGTGAACTTTGGATGCGAAAAAAAAAAAAAAAAAGGTGACGTGTATCCATTAGTCAGAAGACATTAACCTAGGGAAGGTAAGCCTTATAACATATAAAGGTCATCTTAGGTCACGGACTCAGCATCTGTATGACTGTCAATTGTCATTTTTACTATCACTCTGCCATCCATATTTTCGTTTCTATTTCCCACCTTTTCCTGTAATTATTATTCATCTGTTCTTTCAAGCGTACTGAATTTTTTTATAATGGTGTCAAATATTTTTTTTCCCTCCCATTCACAATTCCGCTTGAAATAAAGTTCAACTTAACCTCGCTTGTAAGTATTCTCGGCGTGGTACATCCGCCAATCCGTACAAAATGAATTTCAAATCAATATAGAAATGATGCTAATTTGATAAGGCAATTGAAAAATATTGAAATCTTGTCTCGATGATAAAGTATTTGTGATCCACACAAAATATTCACAGAACCTCATAATGCAGTTACACGTACATGGACATTTAAAGTTCAAACAGCAAGGCGAGTCAAAATTTGCCTTTTTTATGACTATTATTTCCACACTGCATCAGTTTATCAGTTTACTAGTATCTTCAAATTACATTTACGATGACACATATCATAGAATAAGAACAATTTATACTTGATGTCAATATTCAAGCTAAAAAACTCAACTTGGTTATAGAAGAACAATAAAGTAGACATTTTAACAAGGCTACTTTGTAATAGACATACGTGTATGCTACCCACTACGTGTACAGAGCACATTTTGGCAATCTGAAAACCTTTCATATTCGATAGATTTAACGTATTATTGTTTTTTCTCATGATACATAAAATTAGTGGGAATGTATCTTTCGCGAAAAGTGATCACTGCTTAAATTAATATTCTACTATATAGTTTCAGGAAATGATCCATATTTGCTAAAATAAAATGCATTTATTGTTTTACAGTATAAAACACAGCATTGTCATGTTATAAGACGAAAATAAAAAAATATGCAGACTAAAAAACAAAAAAACTATAATTATCTAATTAACTATCCGATCTCCTACTAGGATTGTTTGTTATAATTAATGCTGGTTCATTTAATCAATCACTCCTTGTCAGCCATACTGTTTGACAGCTTAACGGATCTGCCATATTTTGTGCATTATAAACACATGCCCCTTAATAATGTACTACTGGGGTAATATTGTTTGTGTACAGTGTACGTACTACCTTGGAGTTAAAAAAAGAGCTCCATTGTAGTACAGAGCAATACCTTTCATTTTTTTTACACTGCATATTTTTGATGAATTACCAGTAAATGTGGCTCCTAAGTGCAGATCCCACCAGGGTTGAACACCGACCAGGGTTGAACACCGAAAAAAGGTCGACCCCCATACCCTGGGTGAGTGTGTTACATACTCCAAGGAAAGGCCAAACCACTAAACGAGATTCATTCACTAATGGATGTGACTATTGTGGAATTCTAAGGTCTGCAGGTACTTGTGTTCCACCAGCCCAGTTGATGCCAGGATAGAACATTAAATTACCACAAAGCCACTACGACTGGAAGATTGTAACACAGTATTGTCCCGAACACGGAAGATTAACGCTAAATGCACACTTGGAAATATAGCCATAAAAGAGACAACAGTGACGAACATTCAATGTCTGTAACTGTCGGCAGGCACAAAATATTTATTCAAATAAATAAAGACAAAAATAACATTTTTAATAAATTTAAATTTTGTGTTCAAAAACAAGGATGGTATCACAAATATGAATTGTTTGATCCATGAAAGTATGATTGCATGCATGATGAACAGGTTCCATTAAACACATGGTGAAACAAGCAACAGAGGTTCCCTAGAAAGTAGTACTCAACATGCAACTTAAAAACAAAACTTTGCAGCACTTTAAATCCTATCTGAAACTTATGGTACTAATTTACATGGTGGACGTCATAGTAACAACACAAGGTTTGTTTTGTCTCACATGCCAAGTGCAAGAGGAATTAATGATAAAATAATTATGGTTCAATTTTCAAAATTATGAAAAATTAAAAAAAAAAAATGTGTGATTTATCTTATACATGTATAATTTATCTCATGAATTTGTATCCAATTTGAAACATGTTTTTTACAAATGAACAAAACAAAATATGGTAAAGAATATTCTTTTTTGAAACACAAAAAGATTACAATAAATGCTTTTAAATGATGATAAACGATGATCTTATTGAGAAAGCAATATGCTGCCACATATTGCACACAAATGAATTAAAATATGACTTTTTGACACTATAATTAATCACACCCTGAGCATATCGCAATAAAAGAAGACAAAAGTAAAAGGGAATTAATACCATCCATTAACACTTCAACGTATTAAAAATTTATTTTGCTTTCTCTTGTACCTATCTTCTTTTGGATCACAAAACAGCATCATTATTCAAGTCTTTTCATTCACAATGATTACCCCAGTGCATCTGTTTTTGACATTCATTGTAGTTGAGTAGTTCTTATTTTTACAACTTTACTCAAATAACACTTGCATACCATTGATTAAATTTTAATTTTCTCTTCAGTTAAAAAGTTGATCATATTGAGCATAATCACTGCTTTGTTTACGTATTAACAAACCCTGTGAGGAAAGACACAAGCACGCTTGCACACTTTTTATAACTAACATGTGAGGTTTTTTCTCTGTCTTTAATTTAATAGATAGCAGCCACTAATCAAACAAGATAGTAGCCACTAATCAAACAAGATAGCAGCCACTAATCAAACAAGATAGTAGCCACTAATCAAACAAGATAGCAGCCACTAATCCAACAAGATAGTAGCCACTAATCAAACAAGATAGTAGCCACTAATCAAACAAGATAGTAGCCACTAATCAAACAAGATAGTAGTCACTGGTCAGACAAGATAGTAGCCACTAATCAAACAAGATAGTAGCCACTAATCAAACAAGATAGTAGTCACTAATCAGAAAGATAGTAGCCACTAATCAAACAAGATAGTAGCCACTAATCAGAAAGATAGTAGCCACTAATCAAACAAGATAGTAGCCACTAATCAAACAAGATAGTAGCCACTAATCAAACAAGATAGCAGCCACTAATCCAACAAGATAGTAGCCACTAATCCAACAAGATAGTAGCCACTAATCAGACAAGATAGTAGCAACTAATCAAACAAGATAGTAGCC